ATTACCGGTGTGCAGGAACTATCGGAGAGTACACATTCTTCTTATTGGACCAACAAACGACGTCCCTTACTCACATCTATTTTCCAATCATTAGATGCGATGGTGCTACATTCGTGTAACCAGTTAGAGATGTATTCATTGCAAACATGGGTCAGCAGTATAGATTTATCGCGGGTGGTTTGTGATTCTATCCCATCAGTCAATAAAGGTAAACATTTGTATAAACCTTGTGACCTGCGAAACACTTGTGTCAATTTTGTAGATCAACGATACGACAGATATCATAAGATTTATACAGATGGATCCAAGGACGGACGAGTTGGTGGTGCTGCATTTTTCGACCCATTCAACGACTGCGGCATCAAAATTAGGATTGATTCCAATATTTCTATAATGCACATTGAGTTAATCGCTATAGCAGAAGCCTTATCATACATTCAATCTATTAAGTATGATAAATTCGTGATTCTGACTGATTCTAAAAGCTCCTTGCAACATTTGGCTCGATGTACCTCGCACATGCGAGGTAATCCGATAGCCTATCAAATATTGGAGTCAATCCTAAATTTTCAAACACTAAGTAGGAAAATTGTTCTGCAATGGATTCCCTCACATGTTGGTATTGGGGAGAGTGATATTGTGGACCAATTAGCAAAAGAGGCATGTTGGAATGGCATTGCATTAGAAGTATTGCCTTTACATACTGACTACACCAGAGTCGTAAAAGAGAAATGTCATATGTGTTGGCAGGAATATTTTGATGAGAGATCGAGAGAGAAGGGTATTTGGTACCGTACAATACAGCCGCAAGTGCCTAAATACCCATGGATCGAAAACGTGGAACTTAATAGAAAAGCTTTGGTAACTGCCTTAAGGTTGAGAACAGGTCATATAGCTTCTAAGAAATTCGCATTTTTAATGGGAAAAGTCTCATCTCCCAACTGTGAGGACTGCTGTGTAACCGATGATATATTACACATTATTTTTGAATGTGTAAGGAACAGAACTTACAGGGAACATTTAGGGGTCTCGAGAGGTATGAATATCGGCCTTTGTAATAGTGATCTGGCTAACCCTGTGTCGGTTGAAGCCCGGAAATTATATAAGTTGGTAGAGATGTGTCTATGTTAGATGTTAACTAATAAATTCGTACTGTCACAGGGCGATGTGGTCGCACAGCGACAAAGCCCTTTAAATTAAAAAAAAAAAAAAAAAAAAAAAAGACAAACGATTAATAGGGCCGCCTGTGGCGCTTATGTTAAAGTAACTGTGTAGTTGTATTTTTACGACTAATATCGCGTACAATACGAGATTGCAAGGGGCATCCCTGTTGGAAGGAGAGCCTTACGGAAAACAAAGAGCGAAATAGGCACACATATTATAACAATCAGTTTATTTTGGGTATAATATTTGCACTCGTTCGTTTCCGTTTGCGAACCGTCATTTGCTGTTTATTCACTTGATCTGCACCGAAACGGATAAATATTTACTTTGCAAAATAGATACGGGGCGTTGCTAAGCTAGCAACAATATACATATAAAGCTCTAAGCTAATATTTTGCCGTGGGAGAGCTGTTTCTATGCATGAAAGGTATTGAGCACGTTTTTCACCGAGTGAGTTAAGATTTTTTTAAAAGGACTTATCCCTCTAACACTACTGTACACCAGGATTAACAGCAGGAGTCACTGCTGATGATCCTGGCGAACACACCGAGTTATGACACTCGGGAAGTCCTAGTAAAACATAAACTGTCCTGCAACCCGCAACGAAATTAATCTTGACGACGTCTCTAGATGTCACGTCTCTCACACTCACACGTCTCATGTGTCATTTGCAGCTATAGACACTCACCGTCAGATGACCTGTCTGTTCGATTGCCACCCTACACTATAAAAAAAACAGTGGCGCTCCGGGAATGCAGACAGAAGTGAACACTTGAAAATATATTTATTTATTGATTATAACAGGTTTTTTTTCGAATTGCTCCGACATGAATATATATCTTTGTTGTACGTATATACACAAAATATATTTACATTATATAAACTCAACTTTCGTGTAAACGGGGCCCATATATGTGGATACTTATAAACAGAGGTGACGGTAAGTGTCGCAAGTTCAACGGCTTTTTCCCATCTCAAAAAATACATTTCAATACATTAACAAGAAGTTTTTACTTCAAAAAGATCGATAAGTTTTATATCCGAGGAATTGCTCTGAGTAATACCAGCCGCAACTTTCCGCCATCGTTCTAAACAAAAAAAGCACAATTTTCATCCCCATCACTTGGATAATTGGCGCTCCACCAGTGTGAGCGTTTTCGATACACTTTTTGCCTCTCACAACCAATCTGTGGAACACGTTATCGTCTGCGGTATTTCCGGACCACCAAGATCTTCAAACCTTTAAGAAATGAGCGTACTCCTTCCTAAAAGGCCGGCAACGCGTTTGTGATTCCTGAGTTGCGGGCGTTCATGGGCCACGGTAGTCACTTTCCATCAGGTGACCCGTCTAATCGTATACTTCCTCTTCCATAAAAAAGGCTACAGATCAAACTTATGGTTTTCAGTAAGAAGCATTCTACTGGGAACCACCGCCAAACAAAGTCACATTAAACAATAATTTTAATTCCTGAATATATTTGTATTACTTACGTAATGGTCTTTCTACAGAACTTCGATATTGCCTAGTACTTGGGTTTTAGGTTCTGATGGCAGTCGCTCCTCATAAAAAATCGAAGTTCAACCGTATCGAGCAGACTTAAAGACGACCCCAACCAAGTTTATGATAAAATTACGTAGTCCGTTTCCTGCCTCATTGGTAATTTATTTTGTCTATTCAATTGTTGAAGTGATAACTTCTTTAGGCGCGTTGGGCATTTTTTAACAACAAACAAAAGAACGTATTTTATAGGAAAAAAAACCATTGAACTCGCGACACTGTTACCGTTACCGACACCTCTGTATATAAGTTTGCACTTCTGTCGACACTCCCGGAGTGGAACTGTTTTTTTTAATACAATAGTTGTAGTTTTCAATACGCCAAGAATAATAACGGACACCAACTTTAATTCTAAATCTACTTAATTAATTACGATTAAAACGCAGTTGTCTAACCATGCCTAAATCGTACATATTGAAATGAAATAACAATATAAATAATTATGTTTATATAGAAATCGCAACGATAAAACTAGTTTTATACAAGATAGAGCTCATGTACTAAAACTGCATATAATTAACGTGTATCGAGGTATTCATTCACATCACTCACACGTTTATTGCTAGGGATAACAATACCATAGATTTAGAAGTACCAAAACGAATAAGAAAAGGCGTAGAAATAAGAAAATAATAATATTGTACCACATTCACACAACACCCTCTTGTCCCAAACTAAGCAGAGCTTGTACTATGGCTAATAGACAGCTGATATAAATACATATATACTTTTTTTGTCGTAAATACATACTTATTATACATAGAAACACCCAGACCAAAACAAACATTAAATGTTCATGCACACAAGTGTTTGATTTCAGCGGGAAACGAACCCGCGACCTTTGGAATAGCAGTCCGTTACACAAACCACTACGCCATCCGGTCGTCGTAGAAGTTTTATTAGTGGCATTCGTCTATAGTCAACATTATGCGTGTTGATGAAACCGCAAAGACGAATTCCACTCGCTCACAAAATAAGAACTTCCAGATCAAACAAATCATAAATTATTTAACATTTTAATATAATATACTTATTTATAGATTCAAGGTTGTAAAGCATTACTACGATTTTGAAATAATTAAAGTGGACTACAAAAAATAAACTGATAAACTGCAACTTAAACTGGGTATTTCAGTTGCGAAACTGACAAACATTACTTATTTTTGAAACAAAATCCACCATATATGTTTTATCCTAGGAGTTCAGAAACAAGTTTCTTAACAACAAGCAAAACAATCTTTCCCATATTAAAATAAATATACACGATAGTATTTAATCTCAATTGCAAAGACCACAACAGTGATAATTTGCACTGATAGCATCTGGAGCCACCGATTTATCTTCATTGCTTAACAGTTTAAAGATAGTCATCAGTGTGTTTAATTGTTACCTTCGTATGTGAGTCCACGTGAACCGCAGGAAGTTCTAATAATATGTTTTGGAGTAGAAATAAACATCTAAGAATCTTATGTTATTTACTTGGGACAAAGGCAGCATTATCTCAAGCAGTTCTAGATCAAAGTTTGCTCCTGCCTCAAACGCCGGTAATGCATTTGTGATTGTTGAGTTGCAGGTTCATGGGCAGGGGTGTCACTTGCCACCAGGTAAACCGTTTGCTCGTTTGCTTCTTATATCATAAAAAATCTATTCAGGCGGCAGAAATCCATTATTAGGAAGATGTTACTTTCTTAGCCTTAAAATGCACAAATAGAGAAAAAAATTGTGAAATTACCTGGAAATGCTGTATTATCTGTCAATAGATGAATTTTCTCGTAGGCAAAGGTATAGTATAGAGTACACAACATGATAATACAATAAGTAAGCGATTTCATTATTTAGTAACTGATTGAAACGGACACAAACTGCTGTGGAAACTTCTTAATATTAGAGAAATAAGACAGAGTTAATTTGCTATAAAATTTGAATTTTAAAGTTAATAGTTACTTAACAAAAAACTTAATCATAAGCAGTGAAGAAAAATAAAAGAAGCTCCTTTTAAATCCAAATATTGATGTATGTTCAGCACGTTGAAACCTGTAACGCCATCTATCTGAGGACTACTACAAACTTGCAATAATTTTGAATGCCGATTTAAAATGATATAGTACTAAGCATTATTAACAGATAGCGCTACCTGTATCCACGTGTTACAAATCGCATGAAATAGATGGCGTTGTATTAAAATTGTACACAATTCCCTTCTACTTTTCAAAACTGTTATATTACTCTGTAGTTATTTATGTTTTATTATAGAATCTATATTTGGAAAATGACTTACCTCTGCCCAGAAGCAGACAATGAGTGAGGACCCCGACATAAGTAGAGGATAGTAAGCTGATAGAAGACTCGTCGCCCAGCCCTCTTGGAATGCAGACTGCAACAATTTTATAAGATTAATCTATTATTATACAAGTGTTTAACTTAAAACTAAAAAATCAATGCTCACCGGTGAGACAAAGTAAGCTCCTCGAATCAGCGATGCCAAGAACGCGACTAGATACAACATCTTCTGTGTGGTAACCTTGCAGGCACGCAGGAAGGTCGGTGCCTTCAGCCGTCTGTACTCTGTGACTATACATATTGTGAGCTGAACTGCGCAGACGAATGCAACTAGAAGAAACACGCCACCAATACCTGGAAAGAAACGACATTCGTTCTTGAGTAAATGTTTTTATTAGCACTACTAACATCGAAAGCCAGCATAAGGTTCTAACAGTTGGCTGTCAGCTTAGAAGAACCCTGGAAGCCTTCTTTTAGTGCAATAACTAGAGTTAATACCTCCCACACGCCCACTACTGTAACTAGTATCAACAGCAGTGACCCAAGAACAAACCAAGCTATGGCACTCGGGCAGTCACAGGAAAATTATAATGTCTTGGAACCCGCAACGAAATAATTCAGATAAAAATTGGAGGAGTACGGATAAGAAAAACTAGAGCTAAAAATATTTTAAGATTATTCAAAACGCTTCTGAAGAACCTAAAACTAATGAATGTTAGGATATTTAAGAGGTACTAAACTAGCCGCTAATTTGGATTGCCACCAGGTTTAGGCCGTAGCCACGCTCACTACCACGCCGAGTGTTGTGGGTACGATCCAAACATGGGACGACACTTCGTATGATCTACAGATTGTTGCTTTAAATCTGGGTGTTCTTCAAGTCCGTTTCATGAATGTTTGTAACGTCACAGGATATATTCCTAATTAGCGAGGTGTCTTTTTTAAAAGAAAAAAGAAAGAATGACTGTCACATTTTCTTAAATAATGAAGTTTAACAAAAACTGCTCAGTTATCTATCTCTTTTTATACAAAAATGTTACGTTGGTTTGTGTACGCTTCAATAACTCAAAAAGTTCTGAACCGATTGAGCTCAAATTTTGACACGAAATACAACACGGTTCAAAGATGGTTTTTGCAACCACAAGCGTGACAGTGTTACAGCAGTTGGTTTGTGTTCGGTTCAAAGATTTAGCACCGATTGAGTGGAAATTTTGACACGATATACAACCCGCTTTAAGCATGGTTTTTGTCTATGATTTTCGCGTCATTCTGTTCCTCACTTCTCATCAATGCAATTTCAATGTACACCAACCATCTAACGACCAATTGTAGCACGGCGCGCGCTCATTGGTCAAATCAAATAGCACGCGTTTCCCCGACTTCCTGTTACATATTTCCGTCACTTTTTACGAAATAACGCCCACAAATTGCGAAAAAGCGAGGAGAAAGGTGTTACACATCAAAACTAGAAATTTTAAAGTCCTGTATGAAAACTCAGTTGTTAATTAATAACATAACGGTTACTGTTATTAAGGAATTTAAAAGTTTAAAGTATAGTTGTAATAGTGTAGTTATTGCTAACAACTTACAGATGAAGAGAAAGAAATTCCATGATTCCTATACAAATAGCGAAATTGGTGTTTGAAGTAATCAACTATACGATCTCCAATTAGCGTTTAATGCGTGTAATTAGCGCTTTATAATGAAACTGGCTATGGCCTGCGACTTCGCTCGCGTGATTATTTATTCTTTCGTGTTTCTAACTTTGAAAATGACAGACTTCCATACAACCACTCATCTCTTATTTTACCCCTTAGGTAAATCCTTTCTTAGTGGGTGCTTATATAATTAAAAGCATCAGAACTTCACAAAACATAACCAAAATTTCAAATTTGTGGCCCCAGCGGTTTAGGCTCTGCTTTGGTGAAGCAGTTAGTTAATCGGGGCAATTAATTTTATTTGTACGAGTATAGATAGGAGATGAGAAAACAAGTTACTCACATGCATGGTATGGTATATTATGGCCAGCACACTCCTGGCCCGTGTAGCGAATCTCGCACAAACACGTGCCGTTCATACAGTCGCCTCGGCCGCTGCAGTCGTGCGCGCAACCAGTTGCGCCACCAGCCACCGACATCACTGCGTCAGCGTAATACGCCAACAGCGAACGCATTTTATGGTGAGCGACGGTCACCGTCGCTTCGGCAAACTGCAATTAAAAGAAATATGACATAAATACTTAGAATACAGACTGTTCAGAACGGCAACAGCGAGTTCCAGTTACGGGTGCGCGATAACTGCTTAATTATTTGCTTATGGTACAGGGAGGCAAACGAGCAGACGGGTTCCTGATAGGAAGCGTCTACCGCCGCCCATGGAGACCTACAACTCACAAGTGCGCTAAGTCCTTTAAGTCTATCCCCCAGGGGAAAGAGCGTTTAGGCTTTGGTAACCTCATTCATTGGGAGAAAAACAGCGAAAAAACTCTTCAAGACCGGTTTTCTGTGAGGCAGTAGTATCATTCCAGTCGATAGGGCCCATTTGTCCGTGTGACCACCGACCGACCGACCACAACACAAGAATACGGAGTGTCACCACCCATAAAGGATAAATCTAATATATCTTGATGAAATAGGGTATAAATTAATGATATGCTAAAGTTTACTAAATGAGCAAACTACGTTGGACAACAGCACTGCAATAAGGAAAACTTAAAACAAATCCTGTACCGTCTAGCCAGCGTGGTATAGTAGGCCAAAACCTCCTTTCTAAGGTAAAGCCTATGTCCAGCAGTGGACTGTTAAAGGGCTGTTGATGATGATAAAACTAATCATTTAACTCTCAGCCTTAGATACCAATTTATAACTGGCAGTTTATAACAATAAAAAAATCTTTAATACCACAATCCGGTTGACTGTGATTTTGATTAAGTGCCCAAACTTGTATGATATAAATAGTTACTAATAACGTCATGCCCCGCAAATGACAAACCATATAGATACTAGCTGACCCGGCAAACGTTGTATTGCAAAACAAAAAAAAATAGGGATGGGTCACCCTTACCATTTAGGGGTATGAAAAATAGATGTTGGCCGATTCTCAGACCTACCCGATGTGCCCACAAAATTTCATGAGAATCGTGACCGATTCGGAGGAGTACGGGTACGAACATTGTGACACGAGAATTTTATATATAAGATGTATCTACTTTAAATCTTTTACTTTGCAATTTTTTACTATTGAAAAAAATAATATTTACCGACTTCAAAAAAGGCAGACGATTTTCAATTCATTTGTTTTGTTTTTCATATTACCTCGTCTCCGAAGAACTCAGTTATTTATAGACCGATTCGAAAAAATATTTTAATATTTCTATTCAAATTACAACTTGGTAAAAAATTAGGAAAGAAGTTTAAGTATTCAGTTTATTACAATTTATCATGATGTAGTTGAAAACAGTGATGCATAGTGTTCTTTGAATTTTATTAGTAGCCCTTTTATGAAAATTAATAGTTTATTGTCGACCTACTGTATTGTAGGCGAGCGATATCAAAACCAAACATTGGTTTAATAAGTTTTTGCGAGCTCGAATACGTGTGACCCTGAGTTTATCGATCACGCGTTTCCGTAGCTTCCCGTTGGTGATATAACCGCGCAACAGTAAGATAATGGTATTAATTTACAAAATGTAACTACATACAGACATGTTTAAACTCACGCTTGTATATCCGTGTGGTGAGGGATTAAAAATGACTGCACGGATGGCGTAGTGGTTTAAGCGGTCGCCACGCCGCTTACTACTACGCTGAGTGTTGTGGGTCCGATCCCCACATGGGACGACACTTTGTGTGATCCACAAATTGTTGTTCTGAGTCTTGGTGTCCTTTGTGTCCGTTTCATGTATGTTTGTAAAGTCAGAGTCAGAGTATTGCCAGAGCGGAGGTTGTCTTTTCAAAAAAAAGGCGTGTCAACAACCCTATCAATCCCCTGGGTGTCGACATAGGATAACTTTTCATCCCAGAAATCATCATTTAAGGGAGTGAAAAGGGGGGTTTGAAGTTTGTATGGGGAATCAATAACCGCTGTATCGATTCAGATGAAATTTGGTATGGAGGCACCGGAGCCGTTGGCAAAAGTTAGTTAATAATCAAAAACAAATATCCTTGGTTGTGTTTATCAACACATAACTGCACGTGTCAGGCTCGCCTCAGTTGTGTGAGTGAGGCGAAGTTGTGGTTGACAACATGCGTTTATTTCTTTCGAGGTTAGTCATGTTTGCTTATAGATTATATAAAAACACTTACAAAATCCATTGGTAAATAAGTAAGCTTTAGTTGATGAAGTGGGTGTTTCTACGATGATTCTAGTATTTACAAGCAGCGGTAGAAAATGGGGTATCAGAGTTGCGATCATGTAGTTGCGGGTTCGAACCCCAACAAGTGCAGAACTAGGTTTCGGACGAAGTATATTTCTATGTGGCTGTCGACACATTGACTTTTTAACACCTAAAGCATAGTCTTCAGAATTTCGAATGTTCATTTGCAAGTTTAATCAAAATGTTAAATCTAAGTCTAGGCTTGTTACTGCAAGTGTTAGTTAAGTGTTCTGAGGACTTGTCTGTCATTGTGCGCATTACAACTCCTTACCACTGCACCGCTTGAACCGGTAGTCGATCCAAAATCCAAATCCAGTTTGAGACCATAAAGTAATTCTATCACTTATCACTCTTCTATCACCTTCTATCACTTAAGCAAGCAAAGTAATTCACTTAAGCAGGAGTATCATAATTAAGTATCGATAGGTACAGAGTTATTTTAAATTACACACATTTGACTTATAATCTCTATAATCTATAGAACTACCCATAGGCTAAAACAAAATCCTCTCATATTAACACTCATCATTTTAAAACGCCAAACGCACTCTTTACTTTTCGATACAGCAATAATTTTATTTCGAAGTTTGATTGATCATTTCTTCATTATGCCATACATGAAAGATGATGCTAACACTTCTTGACTTCCATAATGCAGGGCTATAGATGTAAGGCCGGTAAATTTAAAATAAAAAAAATTAAATTAATTAAATAAATCCGTTTAAAACAAAAAAAAACGTTTAAAACCATTTTTTTTATTTAAACGGTTGGTGTTGATGACTATGTTTTTCTTAATTACGAATACATTTTTTTTATTTTACCGAGGTAGGGATATGACGGAGTACCTATAATAATGGTAATAGTAGTAATAGTAGGTAGGTAGGTAGTAAATAACCATTTTTTTATTGTTTTCAAACGATATAAATAATCAATTTGATTCGGTTTAAAACCAAACTCAAACTTTCGCACTATCGTTGACACCGTCGGCATCGGCGCAACGGCCTAACGGCGAAGAGATAACGTTGTCTCTTTCATCCGCAAGTAAAACGGGCTGCATTGTGTTAATGATGTCTTCTAATCTAGTGTGTGTAATATAATATAATAAATAAGTCAAAAGTGTCAAAAGTGAACGGACGTGTTATTTGTCACGCTGTTAGTTTTTCAAAATTTAATTGTTATCTGAATTTATTTTAATTCCTAAATGGGTACCAAATGTGCCGGCTGTGATGCCGAGATTAAGGATATATCGTTTATGGAATGTTCGCAAGAAACATGTCATAAATTATATCATCTGAAGTGTCTGGCATTGACATATGAAAAGTTTGAAGCCTTTACTGAAGAATACAAGAGTCAATGGATGTGTCCAGAATGTATCAACGCCATTCCAAAACGTGATAATACGGAGACGCCAATTAGAAGCACTGTTTCCATGAATAAAACTTTTACACCAAGCAACTTTGTAAATAAGGAACGCGGCAGCCGAGTTAAATCCAAGGAAAGTATTATGAATGAGAATGAGTATCAACTATTCGAAGAGATGCGTAAATTTCGTATGGAAATGATATCAAGATTTGATGACCAAAAGAAGGAATATACAAAGCTACAAAGTAAATTTGATAAAACTGAAAACGAGCTACGTGAAATAAATAAAACAATGAGGGTAGTTCAAGAAAAGACAGAAAAAGTGGAATTGTTGGAGAAAAAAATTAAGTTGCTTACAAAAAGGAACGAACAACTCGAGGCGCTACTAAGGAAGAAAAGTCAAACGGAAAATAAGAATGGAAGCGACTGTAATTTTTCTAAGGAGCCCACATTATCATTTGCGAACGCATTGAAACAAGATTCGATGCATAAACCGGTAAAAACTACCGATGTAGTAGTAGTGAAGGAATGTGTGGCCACGAAAGCGACTGATGGAACTGCCAATCCGGAACAAACGCAAGATAAAATCATCAAAGCAAAACAAGCTACTGATAGTAATATTACAGGGAAACAAGAACTTGCAAAGGAAGACAATTGGACTACTGTTAGCAAAAAAAAAACCCCGGTTTCCTAACAGAGAAGTGCGAAAAGGCGGAAGTACAAGTACAATTGAAATTAGAGGGACAGAACGGAAAAAATATTTACATGTTTGGCGGTTACAGAAGGATACATCGAAAGAAGCTTTGGAAAATTATGTAAAAAACATATATGGAAAAGATATTTCGATTACTGTGGAAAAAATAAGACATAAAACTGAAAGAGATTACGCCTCATTTATTATAGGGGTCCCTGAAAGTGAATATGAAGTATTGTGTCAGCCTGAGCAATGGCCTCTAAATATCGAATTTTGTGAATGGGTGTGGTTTCGTAGATCACATGATAAACAATCACCAATCCAAAAGAGATATTGAAATAATATATCAGAATGTAAGAGGGCTCCGCACAAAATTAGAAGACTTTTATTTGGGTATTATTTCATCAAATGCAGACTTATTTGCTATCACCGAAACAGGCTGCAACGAATCCATAAGCGACTCAGAACTTATTCCTCCGGGCTACAAAATCCTACGTTGTGACCGGGCAGATGGGCGAAAGCAGGGAGGCGCGTGTCTCGTGGCCACACCGCGTTTCGAGCTACGACGAGTAAAGACGATCTATGACGTAAACATTGACAATCATGTATTTGAACTAGTTTGTGCTGGTGTATACCGTCATAATAGGTTTTTATTTTTGTTATGTGTGGTGTACATCCCACCGAATAGTAGCGAAAATGAATACTTGTTGTTATTTAGATTGATTGAGCAGTATTGTGACAGTTATAGTGAAGTAATTGTAGTCGGTGACTTTAATTTATATTCTTGTCCTGCGTACGTAAACAGCTACTATGAATACTTTGTGACGTATTGTGGATTCACTCAGTGCAATAGTATAGGTAATTGCGTTGGTCGATATCTGGACCTAGTGCTAAGCACCTTCGCGGAATGTGAGAGTGTAGTGGTGCGCGCGGCAGAGGAACTACTGGTACCGGTGGATGTGCAACACCCGCCGCTCGAGGTTATGGTTCGCCCGTCCGGCGGCGGCCGTACCGGCGTCGGTTCGGGGACGCCGCCGCACTACCGGTATACAACTGGTAAGTACATACACGAGGCATTACCAAGATGGAATTTTAATAAAGCCGATTTCCAGTCCTTGTATTCACAAATAGGGGCCATTGACTGGTCTCCGATATATGTTTTAAATTTAGAAATGAGTTTAAATTTTTTTTATGATAGGATAAATTCCATTATCGATCATTGAGTTAAAACAACACTAGAGAAGCAAACCTCATTATCACACGTCGAAAAAAGTGTAACCACTTTTGAACTTTGACGACGTAGCTTTGATACCACTAAACATTTGAAAGTAAACATATTTATGTCTCATTTACACGCGAGACAAGAACAATACCATCGCTCGGATTAGACAAAGACAAAGATATAACTTTACGATGGTGGGCCAGTGTTGACTACCGTATGAAATTTTACCCATAACAACTAAGAAACAATTTTTTTTTTAAACAATTTTGTAATAAAATAAATTAATTTAAATATTCTAAATAATATATTTCGAATTGAATAGAATAGGTATAAATAATAAAATAACTGGAAATATTTGGTTAAAAGGGTTTATATTCAGTGTTATATCAAACTGCGCTGTGAAGCATCAGTTGTGTATACAATTGTCTTTTAGACTCTTTTTTATAAGTTTGTGTGGATATTTTACTTTCATGATACACTTATTTTTACGTATGTAAAAATAAGAGCATTTAATAATAAAAGTGAATGATCAACTTGTACTGATAATAAATAATCCCCAGGGTGTATTGCAAATTCTATTATAATTTAAAAAACAAATAAAAAAATATATATTTTTATTTTTATTTTATAAAATAAAATATTTATGTTTATTTACTTTTTATTTTACATTTTTATTTTTATGATAAACATTTATTATTATTCTCTTTATTAATTTTATATATACATATTAATTACATTTTTAAATATATTACAAAAGAAATAAAAATACATTTAAAAATATAAAAAATAGTAGACCACCGACATCGGGTACAGGTACCAGGACACCAGTGGTTAGGACTGCAAAGATAGGAACCTACTCACTATACGAGCCGCGTCAAGGAGGACTGCCTTCTGTATCTTATTATTATTATTATTTTGTACAATTATTATTTAAAATTGATAATAAATTAAGAAAAACAATGAATTAATTTTTTTGTACAAAAGTCTCCAGCACTGCGAGCTTGGCACTTCTGCCAAGCTCGCAGTGAACGTTCAAAGGGTCCCTAAAAAAAGGGATCGGTCCAGCTCTAACAACTACCGTTCTTCCTATATTTTATTATTATTGGCAAAATGTTTAAAAACAGTATAAAGCATATTATTTCATAAATTATAAATTCTCCCACTAATGTGGGAAAACCAAAATGATTTTTTAATGGTAACACTGATTCTAAATTACAATTATCAGTGTTTTATTTCAATTATAGCCTTATTTACGATATTATCAATACAAAAACCATAAACTTACACGTGAAAAGTAATTCCGCATGATTTATTAATGTTTTGTGACCTTGAATCGCATTCTTTCACTACGCATTTAGCCATTTTGGCGATTGTTACTGTCATGTGTCGCTATGTTCAACTCGGTTGACGCCACATTGAATAATGAATTGACGTTTGCTACGCATATGCCTGTGGACATATGTGCAGTAGCAACGATTTTAGGCGGTAATTACTCATCTATGTAAGTATTATATCAATGTTATCGATGACTGCGTTCCTAGAAAAAAGCGAAGTCGTGTAAGCTCGAGGTACACTTACCCCGAGTGGTACACTGTTGAAATAATTCGCGACATAAAATTGAAAGCGGTACTTCATAAGCGATACAAATCGAGCAGACAAAATAGTGATTACGAGGCCTTCGCTCAGTGTAGGGCTATGATAAAACATAAGATGCGAATGGCTAAACAAGAATACGAAGACCGCATTCAAAAAGAATTCCAGGAGGATCCGAAATCCTTCTGGAACTACATTAAATCAAAGAGAAGCTCAAGGAATACACAAACGATTTTAAAAGACGGGGTTGTACTGGCTGGTGAGGAGTGCGTTAGAGAATTTGCTGATTACTT